GCATAGCTGTACATCCATGGAAAATGCATGTAAATTCCTTCTCTTCAAACAGGGTAAAATTGATTATTCTTTGGCTATATTCTCCATATTATGACCACAAGATGACACTATTATAGGAAATAAGTATGCTCCTCAGCGCCAGCTAGGGGCCATAATGTGGTATTGTCCACCTTCACACAATTGAATTGCACAGAATATAGCAGGAAAACATTCGGTTTTGCCCTATAAGCATTTTTGGTTCGTTCATCACAGTGGTATGTCTCACATTGTTCATTGGAACTGTTATATCGAATAGCTGTAGTATCTTAATTTTTTTTTTAGCTGGAGAATAATTTCTGTTTCAATTTTGGGTGGAAGGCAACATTTAATCACTAGTTCACGGCAATGCATTTATATTACAGAATTAAAACCCTCAAAGACGTAAAATAATGTGCCAATCAATCTAAAGGACAGCTGGATGAATCATTTCCTCTGTACTCAGTATATTAGTTACAATTGAAACAGAAGGATCTTCAATTACTTGCAAGGTTTAATGTAGTGTTTGTTCAATGCAATCATACTGTTCTCAAAAAGGCTCCAGATCTTACCAGTCTAGCACTGGCTGCCCAAGGAGCTGCCTAATTGTTGCGTCCCCCTGCCGTTCCCAGTGGTGACCTGCCCTAAGTAGTCCTGGCAACTCACCGACACACCAGTACAAAAGGCTTTATTGTAGGTTTTAATGAAGCTGGAACAAGCCTTTAAAGCAAAGTACTGATTAGAAGGATTAACTCAGTCTCAACTACAGGAATAACAATAAGTGCAGCAAGTAAATGACTTCTATTCCCCTCTCCGCCTTTGGAATGACTATGCCAGAAAGCACTAGGGAAGCGGAAGGGGAACAACTATGAACACAATGAAAACAGTTGGATATCAAGTAAACACCTTTATAATGAAATATAGAGCAAATAACATGGTCTACTTCTATGTTCAGGCCCAGTTCAGCCACTGGCCAGTAGAGTAATAAACAAGTCTGCCGGCGGTGGGGCCATCAACTTAGTGTTGGAGCACTCATCCTAAAATCAAGGGTATTTGTAATCCAAGGGTTATAGAATGAATACACCCAAGGTGTCCGGGGCAGAGCTCTAATAATGACCGGTAAGTTACAAAAATACAATCAAGGGTGGTCAACAGGCTACTAGATGTCTTCAGGCAGAAGTCCATCTCAGCATGGTCAGTCCTATAGGCTGAATGGGGCAGGCCATACAATCTCCAAATTTTGCTTTTTTATTTGCACAGCTGGAAAAATAGAGGATGCCCCTAATGGTATAGCTAAGATCACTAGAAAATACAATGTAGCAGCTATGTAACGGATGCCATTGGTGACATCCATTCCTAAGTATGCTCTAATGCATCGGTACATGCTAAGTACTAATGCATCATTGGTGACATCCATTCCTAAGTATGTTCTAATGCATCATCATTGACATCCATTCCTAAGTATGTTCTAATGCATCATTGGTGACATCCATTCCTAAGTATGCTCTAATGCACCATTGGTGGCATCCATTCCTATGTATGTTCTAATGCACCATCGTTGACATCCATTCCTAATTATGTTCTAATGCATCATTGGTGACATCCATTCCTAAGTATGTTCTAATGCACCATCGTTGACATCCATTCCTAATTATGTTCTAATGCATCATTGGTGACATCCATTCCTAAGTATGTTCTAATGCACCACCGGTGACATCCATTCCTAAGTATGTTCTAATGCACCACCGGTGACATCCATTCCTAAGTATGTTTTAATGAATCTCCGGTGACATCCATTCCTAAGTATGTTCTAATGCACCTCCGGTGACATCCATTCTTAAGTATGTTCTAATGCATCGCTGGTAACATCCATTCCTATGTTCTAATGCACCACCGGTGGCATCCATTCCTAAGTATGTTCTAATGCATCGCTGGTGACATCCATTCTTAAGTATGTTCTAATGAATCACCGGTGGCATCCATTCTTAAGTATGTTCTAATGCACCTCCGGTGACATCCATTCTTAAGTATGTTCTAATGCATCGCTGGTGACATCCATTCCTATGTTCTAATGCACCACCTGGGCATCCATTCCTAAGTATGTTCTAATGCACCATCGGTGACATCTATTCCTAAGTATGTACTAATGAATCACCGGTGGCTTCCATTCCTAAGTATGTTCTAATGAATCATGGGTGGCATCCATTATCCATTCCTAAGTATGTTCTAATGCACCTTAGGTGACATCCATTCCTAAATATGTTATAATGCATCGCTGGTGACATCCATTCCTATGTTCTAATGCACCACCGGTGGCATCTATTCCTAAGTATGTTCTAATGCACCACCGGTTACATCCATTCCTAAGTATGTTCTAATGCACCACTGGTGACATCCATTCCTAAGTATGTTCTAATGCACCACCGGTGACGTCCATTCCTAAGTATGTTCTAATGCACCACCGGTGACATCCGTTCCTACGTATGTTCTAATGCACCATCGGTGACATCCATTCCTAAGTATGTTCTAATGCACCATTGGTAACATCCGTTCCTAAGTATGTTCTAATGCAGAGTTATATTGTGAAAACATGGCCACTGTTGAGGATGAAAGAGGATGAACCTGTAACACTTCCAGTATAGCCTCTACCCACAAATTGAACAGTGATGACGATCATTTCTATTTCTAGGTATTGTTTCCTTCAGTTCTAAACATGGGAAACACTTTTATATGGATGCAATTCTATCTCTTCTCATGAAGAACCTCATTTATTTCCTATTATTTGTCTATAACAGTAAGACGTTTGAGAGTCAGTGCCTTGGCAACTGAACAAGATTGGCTTTACCAAGCTTCAAAAATGCTTTTCAGTGACTCATAAAACAATGTGCAAATGGCTTTGATTAACAGGAACCAATCAAAATGTTTGGTCTGCCCGGACATAACAAATTTGGTTGCTATGGTTATATTTTGGTTATATTTTGTATATTTGCACTACTTTCTTGAAAAAAAAAACCTTCCCATTATATTGATAGATTTATCCAGTAACCTTTTAAAAATATCATTTCAGTTTTGTACTACCAGCAAATGGCAATACGATTTTTTTTCTTCTTTGATGTTATGACCTTCTTGCCATCGTCTCCTTTCTATGTCTTTTATATTCCTCAATGCTTGCACTGTATGACCTAATGACAATGTTTGTTTCTGAAAATTTGTCAATAAAAAAGTTTGTGGCCAAAAAAAAAATATATATATATATATATTCAGGAATTTTAAAGGGGTCTGTGTATAAAATAAATGTGTAAGATAAATGTCACAAGTATTCTCCAAGCCCTCAGGAATCCTGGGCGTATTTAAAAATGTGATTACTTATGATTGCTAGCTCCATCTAATGGACACAATGCAGTATTTGCCTTGTTGCGGTATTCAAGATGATTGTGCTTATTCTGGCCACTAGATGGTACTGATGATCATAGGAAATCAACATATCAGGAAAAACAGGGCTATGTTTGGTTAGACAAATGCTGACCTTCATCTAACAAAATCTTTTACACTCAGAGTGAATGTAAGCTCCCACAATGAGCTTCTCTTATTTGCTCCCTTTTGGTCTATTAAATATACAATTATAAAAATATTTTGTTAATTTGGTATATGAATATATATTTTGCATCCTCTTCTTCTCAGACACTCCTGGCTCCTCCCCCTTGCCCTGTGCCCCCAATAACAAGCTGCTTGCTATGGGGGCACTGGTACATCCTCGCCCTGGGGTGCCTTGAGGTTTCTTCAGGGGTGCCTTGGGAAAATGTCTAAAAGTTAGTCAAAACTTGTATACAAACCAGCAGGTGGAAGAAGCCTGCCTTTTAGTTACACAAACCCACAGGTTTTCATGGTGCTCCTTTACGACCTTCTAGCCACCGGCGTCCTGACAACCAATGACATCATTAGTTGATAAGGAGGATGTCAGTTGCGTGCAAAGCATCCATGTTTGACTCTCCCCCGCCCTTCTCCATCATGCTGGGGTCACATTAACTCAGTGATGGAGAAAAACTGAGGGAGAAGAGAAACACTGGAATACTAGTCAGGACCAGTGTGCAAAAGTGTATTTGATTCAGAAGAATTATTATTATTATTACACAGGATTTATATAGCATAAACAGTTTGCTCAGCGCTGTACATTATAACATTATAATGGGAGACAGTACACGAGGCAGTACAGTAACAATACAATTCAATACACAAGGGGGGTTCGAGGGCCCTGCTCCTTGGAGCTTACAATCTAGAAGGGAGGGGATAGTGGTACAGGAGGAAATAGCTGTGGGGGATGGAGTGGTAGGAAGAGTGCAGGAGTTCAGTAATTAGCTGAGGGCAGGGTAGGCTTCCCTGAAGAGATAGGTTTTCAGAGTGCGCCTAAAGGAGAGGAGAGTAGGTGATAGTCTGATGGATTGGTGGAGGGAGTTCCAGAAGAAGGGGGAAGCCCTGGAGAAGTCCTGGAGACGGGCACGGGAGGAGGAGACCAGGGAATTAGAGAGTAGGAGGTCTGGTGAGGAGCGGAGAGTACGTTTTGGGTGGTATTTGGATACCAGATCGGTGATGTAGTTTGGGGCAGTATTATGAACATCTTTATACATCAGTGTTAGTATTATATTAGAATAAATCACCTCTAGCGTTGGGTGTCCTACATATGTGGATGTTGCTGAGTTATATAAAACTATTAGAATAGTTTTTTATGTTTTAGAATGGAGTGCCTCAAGACTGTCCATAATTTTAAAGGGTGCCTCGGGACTGTCCATAATTTTGAAGGGTGCCTCGGGACTGTCCATAATTTTGAGAGGGTGCATCGGGACTGTCCATAATTTTAGAGGGTGCCTCGGGACTGTCTATAATTTTAAACGGTGCCTCGGGACTGTCCATAATTTTAGAGGGTGCTTCGGGACTGTCCATAATTTTAAGGGTGCCTCGGGACTGTCCATAATTTTAGAGAGTGCCTTGGTACTGTCCATAATTTTAGAGGGTGCCTCGGGACTGTCCATTATTTTAAAGGGTGCCTCGGGACTGTCCGTAATTTTAAAGGTCTTGGCACTGTCCATAATTTTAGAGGGTGCCTCGGGACTGTCCATAATTTTAGAGGGTGCCTTGGGACTGTCCATAATTTTAGAGGGTGCCTCGGGACTGTTCATAATTTTAGAGGGTGCCTCGGGACTGTTCATAATTTTAGAGGGTGCCTCGTGACTGTCCATAATTTTAAAGGGTGCCTCAGGACTGTCCATAATTTTAGATGGTGCCTCGGGACTGTCCATAATTTTAGAGGGTGCCTCGTTACTGTCCATAATTTTAAAGGGTGCCTCGGGACTGTCCATAATTTTAGAGGGTGCCTCAGGACTGTCCATAATTTTAAAGGGTGCCTCGGGACTGTCCATAATTTTAAAGGGTGCCTCGGTACTGTCCATAATTTTAAAGGGTGCCTCGGGACTGTCCATAATTTTAGAGGGTGCCCTGAAATTGTCCCTCATTTTAAAGGGTTCCTTGACTAAAAAAAAGCCTGAGAAACACTGCCTTATACAGTACATTTCTCCCACACAGGCAACACCGTAACCGCAAGCAATCACCCACACCACTTATCTAATCAAGTCACATCAATACAGTATCTTTCCATTTTGTACTTCCTCCACTTGTTACACATGTTAATATTCCTAATTGACCGTTTTGACTGATTATACCTCCTGTGTCTCTAACATATAATGGAATATTGTCATCTTACATTAGGAACACAGGACACATAAATTATGGATTCAAAAAACTGAACTAGATTTTTTTTAATTATGAGTGATGTGAACTCGTTATATGCAATTATATAACATAAAAGGCAATAGAAGCATTAAGACACTTCCTGGAAAAAGATATACTGTAAATATTCAAGCACTTAAGATCACCTTTTTTAAATTGTGTAGGATTTGGTTTGAATAACAATTATTTTTGGCTTAATGGAAAATTTTACATCCAGAAGAGGGTCTCTGTTGGGGTTCAGATTTGCACCTGTGTATGCTAACATACAGTATTCATGGAAATGTGGGAGAACAGTTCATACAACTGGATAAAGAAAGGAACAAAATCTGATATTTTAAGGTCGCTAGGTAGACAGCTGTGACTCTGAAGCCCATTCTAGAGCTGGAATTTGGAATTTAATTTATACATTAAACAAAAGAAAGAGCAGAAAGCGGTCACCATAGGAAATGAATTTACAATATTCCCAAAGGACAATTTTTTAGAATGAGACAGAATTGTTATCAGACAGCAAGGTTAGGAAATGGAAAAAAAAGGTTTTATGAAAAGGGCTATAAGAGGGAGGTACTTAAGAAGGCATTTCCCCCTTTCTGACTCCTTTTTTGGTGTTTTTTTTTCCTTTTTTCTGTGTATGTGTTTGAAGATTTATTGCCATGCTTTTTCACTGGCAAATCTACCTGGAGGAAGGTTGCCTACTGTTAGTCTAGCCAGATTGCTGCCCAGGACGGGAAAGAGTTAATATCTTGGGCACCGTTTCTCAAGTGTTTCTTGATGGGCTTTCCTGGGTCCGACCCACTGGTCCTGTAGCCTATAAATAGGGACAGCGCAGTGCTTTACATATATATTGTATATTCACATCAGTCCCTAACCCTCAAGGGGTGTACAATCTAAGGTCCCTAACTCACATTCATACATACACATACTAGGGCCAATTTAGACAGGAGCCAATTAACCTTCCAGCATGTCTTTGGAGTGTGCTAGGAAACCAGAAAACTCGGAGGAAACCCACACAGGCACAGGGAGAATGTGCAAACTCCAGGCAGGTGGTTGGTATTCGAACCAACGACTCTAGTACTGCCAGGTGGAAGTGCTAACCAGTTAGCCACTGTGCTGCCCATGGGTCTGGATCCCAGAGATCTCGCCTAGCATTGTGGCCTTAGTCTTACCACTGCGACACATGGCCCTGTTCCTGCTGTGGGCCTGTACTTTGGAGCTTCAACATGTAGGGGGACTGCCAGGAACTGAAGTCCGACCAACATCATGCTTTGCTGGGTTTTTTGCCTTTCTCTGGATCAACTGTGGGTATAGGATTATAAGTTTGTTTTTTTTTTTAATGGTTGAACTGGATGGACTTTTGTCTTATTTCAGCCAGACTAACTATGTACCTATGTAACAGCCACCTTATTGGACTTGCCTTTTCATAGCTTTCACCTGTGTAGGTATGCAGGGGCAGCCAAGCACGTGTTAGGGACTAGCCTAGGGAAGAACTATTACTCTGTTATCTTTAATGGTTACGTTACTCAATTAAAGTTTTAAAAACTTTACCATGCCTGGTCTGAAGCTATTCAAGGGGAGTATGAAAGTAAACGACACCACACATAGTCTACAGCTGGGGTCAGGAAACACATTAGGGTATGAAGACAGCAGTAAAAGAGTTAATGTGATACAGATAGCATCCTTACCATGCCTAATGGAAGTCAGTACAGCTAGTACAAGTAGATTGTCATGAAGCAATGAGGGAGTTGTTGTCGGCACTCTCTTCCAGCGGTCCGTCTCCCATAACAATTGGAGCAGATAAGCACAGTAGAGGTTCCTGGCCTGGTCATAGGTACAGAAGAGGATTAGTTAACAGTCTGATGCTCGGCGGGGCTCAATTCTATTACTGGAAGTGTAGTAGCAGAGATACGCTAGACAGGTGCAGTGGGCATCAGCTCAGCATGTCCCTCTGAATTGCAACTGACAGTGAAGGTGTACATTGATTCAATGCCTGAGGGAAGGTCGGGGCCATCAACCTATAGATCGCAATATGTTGTCTCCTCACCACCTGATTTAAACCCATAATTCCCATGCAATGCACATAATTGTGACACAGTAGTACGGCAATTAAAGGTTTAAATCAGGTGTGAGGGAGGCAACACTGTGCTTGGTGATCTTTGATTTCTCCCATGTTGTTCAGGTAGATCTCTACCTCCTTAAGCTTGCCACCACTGCTGTATGGCCATCTATGAGGTAGAGGCCCGCCTTAAAGTTGAGTTATCCCTGAAAGCGACCTCCACCCTGGCCCAGGGCATTGGTGAGCACGGCACAGTAAAGGTACCCCATGTGCAAGGTGTGTGACCCATCCAAGGTGCCCAGCATATCCCAGAAGAACCGATCCCAGGGTAGTCCTCTTATGTGATCCACACTTGGCGCCCAACGAGGAGGGGAACATGGAAGAAGTATCACCCACCTACCCCTTACATACAGTACCTGAATCATTCTAGATTGGGAACCACAAAGAGAGGAAATGCTTTATGTAATGCTTATATACATCATGTTATATTGCAAGATATGCATCCTCAAAGCTGTGTTGAAAACGTGTGGAAAAAATACCTTTTCAAAATTTAATAAAATGTTGTTTACTAAGGCAGCATTTAAGGAGACTAAAAATAATTTTAAAAAATGAATTATTCAAGATGGATGAAAAAGGGATATGAAAGAGAAAACTGAAAACATTCCCTTTGTCACGGACTTCAAGATGGCAATTAAAGGGGTTAATAAGATTTTAAATTAGCTTGTGTTGCGGGGAGCTGAGATTCTAAATGAGATGCTGATCAATCAACCTAAATGTTTATGTAAAAGGAAACAGCAGATTAAAGATAGGATTATCAAAAGTTACATTAGGGATGAAAAAGTACCAAAACATTGGTTTGGGGATTGAAAGGTTTTTGGCAGTGCACAAAATGTGATATGTAACAGCAAAAAGAGTAACAAGTCTAAAAAAACATTTCATTAATTTAGCTATTGGAAAGAATATGAAATGTACAAATATAGAAATATGAAAAATATGAAAGTTGTGAAGATTAGGTGCCAAGGGTAGAGCTTTAGGGATACTGTCTACTCACCAAAATTGGGATTAAGGGCTTTCTGCTCATGTTTATTTAACAGAAAAAGGTTCCTTACATCATAGTGTGAGCATACAGTGGTTTTCATCATACATAAGCAAAGATAAAAATGCAGCCTCCAGGCTATAAAGCCACCCAACTTAGGCTACCTTGGCTCTCAGCCTAGGAACATGACCTCTCAGACCAGCACATGTGTCCTTATGCTGCTCTTGGAGCATCTATACGTCTAGGTGTTGACTTGGTCACTGAAGACAGACCCACAGCCCTAGTATGTCCATAGCAGCACAAAAGTCTCTTCAGAAGGGAGAACCCCTGGACACTACAGTTTCCATACCATAAGACCTGTATACAACTGCACGATCAGCAGATGCTGGTCACCATCAAAACACCAACAGCCTCAAGGCCCCATACTAGGATTTACTATTCCTAGAGAAGACTGCAAAGCCAGTTTTATCCACACAGAACAGCCTTTTCAAAGCCCAGCCTGTTATTCATATAGAACTTTTCATTGTGGAAGCTTCTATGAATGGCGGGGGGCAGAAAAGGTGGGCATAAATGGCACTTGACAAGTGTGTGGGGAGGTGCAGAGTGCTGCGGACAATAGAAACACAGTCTGGTTATAGTAAAACTTGAAACTTGTATTAAGTGGAATGCCAACGTTACGAACACCCTAGCGGGGAGAGTGCCGCTTAGGGGAATAACTCACAGTTTAATGTAGTCATAGAGGCAGCTGAGGAGAGGTGCCAACAGTGCCTGGTTAGAGGGTGAAGTGCAGCTTGGCTGGTTCAATCCCAAAAGGGGAGACTTCTGACAGGTTAGTACGTCCCTAGCCTTTCCCTCATCATCAGGAACTTCTCCCTACTGTTAGTTGTTGTCCCTAACAAGGGGGTCTCTCTCCCTACACTAGCCACTCATAAAATGCATGCCAAAACCCAGGGGCTAAAGTAGACTTTGCTGACCCAAGATGGCCACCAAGGTCACATGGCGGCAGCATATCCAAACGGAATGTTGCTCCATTTGACCCAGGAAAACATAGAGAAACCATGTTTCCCTTGGATTTCCTCTCCAGGCTGTGGTACCACTTGGGTCAAGTGCCACCAACAGTGGAGAAAAACAGACTGCACCTGCTTACAAGTGCATGTGATAGGTAGAGCCACTGTGATCTTCCAGTGCTACGGGGGTATCCAGGGAACAGAGGAATGAAGATTTTATGGAACAAAGCAGCCACATTACATGGACACTCATCATTCATGTAGGTACATCCCTGGTTTGGATTAAAATAAATAATAATAAAGTCACTAAACTTCAGCTTTAATTGTAGTTAAGCAATACCCTGAAAAGTCTACCTTTTACTTCCAATTCTTCATGAGAAGTTGCAGTGTAATTCCTGAATGTAACATTGTATAGAGCAGGGGTAGGCAACCTTAGAAAGGTGGAGATCTACCTGAACAAAATGGCAGTTATAAACAATCACTGGTCACAGTGTCGCTTCCTCACACCTGATCTAAACCTCTAATTGCCGTACTACCGTTTCGCAATCCCACACATTTCACAGCAATCATGGGTTTAAATCAGGTGGTGAGGAGGCAGCATATTGCCTCACCCCCACCACGTCAAACACACTTGGAGCGCTTGCACTT